AAGTAAGATGACCTAGCTTTTATTCAGGAAAACAAACAACGTTCAGGCGACACCTGTGTAATGGCTGAGGAAATTAAAAAATTGGGGGGGGGGGGGTTTGAAGCGATTCAAACGAAATCCAGTTTTTTTTTTTAACTCGTGATTTGAATTTGAAAACTCGTGATTGTTTTTATTTCAAATGATTTCAATGGTTATTCTGTGTATTTTTTTCCACGCAGACAACTTCGGGAGAAGACGTTAGAGATTTTACGCGAACATTGAGGAATAAGTTCAAGTCGAAGAGATACTTCCGGAAACACCCACGGATGGGTTACCTTCCTGTGCAATTGGGCGCTGATGGGAAGCCGCCGTCGGGCGCCACAACACCGGCGACTTCCCGCGGCGGCGGAGCCAATTCATCTCTAGGTAAATTTTTCTACCAATAATAACTTAAAATGAAAAAATAATGATTTGCAACCATTCGACGGAAATGTGTATGTGATGAAATATTTCGCTGACGAGGAAATGGTTCAATCTCGTACGTTGATCTGTTTCCTCAGTTTTTCTTCTGAAATTTTTTTTACTAAATCAAAATTAGGTTCGGGGAGGAAATTCTTCTGTTCCCCTTGGAACGATTATTATTTGCTTATGTTCTTGTCCAAAAATGACAGACTGGAAAGCGAGGAAAATCTGTACTGCAATTCAAAAATATTTTGAGGATGGATTCCTGCTCCGAAAAACGGTTGTCCGAATCAGTGTCAAACTTCTCATTGGGAAATGAAGCCATTTGTGTTCTCGAAATTTTTTATGCATGCCATTTTTAAAATGGCAGCCAAGAATACTACTGTACAGCACTAGATTTTTTTTTTTTTTTTTGCTTGATGAAGTGCTGCATGTTTCAGGAAGTGATTCATGTATTTATTCTTCTTTTTTTCCACTTCAAACGCAGGCCATTCCATGCATATGCACGGCTCATCGTCGGCGGCGGAGAGCAGTGGCGGCAGTCGAGACGCGTCCCCACTGGCGTCCCCGAGGGCCATTCACAGCGCCGGCGCCAGTGTGACTGGCAGCAGTAACCAGAGCCCTGCGACACCCCTGCCACCTGCTGAAGTTCACTCCAGGCTTGAACTGTATGCGTCTCGTCTGGCAGAGGTTGAACTCCGTTCTCATGCATCTCCTGTCACTGATTCGTGAGTCAAATTTTGAAACGGAGCTTTCTTCTTCTTCTTCCGTGTTTCAATTATATTTTTTGTGTGTAATTTTTAATTTTTGCGTTACTGAATTTTAAGAGAGAGAGACTGAGAACCACCAAGAAGAAAAAGGTTTTTCCCGTTTTCTATCAGTGAAGTTTAATATTATACCTGATGAGTAGATTCCAGCGCAGTTCGCGCTTTTATTTTCGAATTCATTTTTTAGTTTGTATTTTCGAAATATTGCAGTTCTAGAGGCACTAAGACACGGGGATAGGGTTTTATCAAAATTTCCGAATGAAAAAAACGTAAAAAAACTCTTTGCATGTACAGTACTCTTACGGAGGGCGCGTAGTATTGAAGTAAATACGGTAATTAGTGTTCTGTGACACGTCGCCTGAATTGTTTTTTTATCAAGTATTATAAGGGTTCAATTTTTATCAAGGGCATTGGCTTAGGTTGGTTTTGGAAGACCGGAGCTAGGCTGTTTTCTGTATTTCCGAATTTTCTTAGGATTTCAGGAAAGCTATTCAGGCGACACCTGTCCATCATTCTAGATAGCCTGGTCGCATCATCGTGTTTTCTTGAACGTTGAACAGGTGTCGTTTGAATCTCTAGCATAGTTCAATGTACAGTAACGACTTCGAATTACATATCTCTTATATGTTAGCTGGAAATGAGCAGAAAGTAGGAATATAGGAATATTCAGACGATACACTTATGTATTTGTTGGTAAACTTTATCACGGAGTTGGGCTTTCAAATGGAGAGAGTACAGCTCGTGTTTCAGGATTTCTGAATATATTTCCCCACTGCTGCGGGTGTGATGATGATGATTTTAGTTCAGATTACGTTGTGTAGTTTTACAATGATGATTCATCCTCCTGAATTCTGTAATCTGTTGCAGGGAAGACGAACACGCGCTGATTTCGAGATACTGTCAGTCATTGGGCCACTTGCGGAGGGAAGACGTGGGCACAGAAAATGGTCGAGCAGGATTGTCGCTGTCCGGCCTGACGGATGGAAATCAAGGCAGAATCAATCATTTGCCGCCATCTGGCGGCGGTAGAAGTCGGAATAGCAGCAACAATCCCGAGCAGCAGATGAACAACCGAAATTTGCGACAGCAGATTCAGGACATTCCGTCGCCAACCGAGGTGCTAACTGCGCTGGAATCTACTCATCAGGTATAATATTATACTTTACTGATGGAAATTCATCAACGATTTTGGTTTTCAATGGAAAAATAGATTTTTCTTGTAACATTTGAAAATTTTGCGTGATCACTCCTCAGATGAAACTCGATGTTGATTTTCCTAACCTGCAACCTTTCAGTGAACATGAATTTGTTTGTATCTCACAGCATGCTGAGATTAACAATAATAAATGAATCAAAGTGAGTCCATTCAGAATATTAGTGAATAGTTCAAGGATAGAGTTTGAAGCCTTGTTTGAGATTCGGATTAAATCCTTTTGTGCTGTTGTAACGCTTCTGAGACTTCACTGAAAATACGCCTCATCAATATACAGTACTGTACATCGAAAAATGCATGAGTAAATTAAAATATTGTATTAACGCATTCCCTTCAAGTAATACTCGCGCCAAAGGCTTATCAGTCAAAATGTTGATGTAATTGTATCCCAAATTAAGACGCCCCTCATTTTAGCCACACTGAAACTGCAGTATTCAAAAAAATGAGATCTACCATATTTTAATTTAGAATAGAATTGAACCTTAATTCCCTCTAATAATCAATTGCTGTCATTGCAGTAAGTTTTTCTGTTGACATTGGTCAAACATTTCCCATTAGAATCAAA